ATTTACATTAACATTATTTTGTTTTGTGTACACAAACTTAATCACGTTTATCATCTTTTTTGTAATCAAATGATGATTTAAAATTGATTAGAAAAAACCTAAAATCTATAATAATATTTTAATGAAAATGTAAAAAATTTATATTTTTATATCATATTTTTGGAGCGTAATTTTGTTGTGCCATGACTTTTGTCCACATACATAAAAAAAATTTGTTAACATTTTTTAAATATGATTGATTTTGTGATATCCAATTATTTTATCATAAAAAATATTTCCTTATATGTAATGATTCAATAATTTTACATATTTGTGTACACATTATCAGAAAGTATTATTCTGAAAAAATAATATCATATAATCATATAAAGAAATTGATCATTTGTCAAGTTTTTTTATTTATAATATTAAAATAAAATAAACTCTATTTCAAATTTCATTCAACATATAAAAAGTTATGTGATGATAGATTTCAAGTATTAAATGATAATTACAAAATCATAATAATAATATAAATGGTGTTTTTTTATTCTTTTTTTGTTCAAGACTTGAATTTGAATCTACTTAATAACAAACTGATAGTAAAGAGTATTATAATATATTATATTGTATTGGGTTATCTGTTTTTTTGTTGCAAATAAGCTTATTACACATATAGTGTGCATACATAATGTCAGAATTTTTTAAGTTTTATGTGGATTTTTATTCAAGAATAACATGTATCTCAATAATTTTAAAATTAAATCACATTTACTAAATTTTATAGTAATTGAATCATACATAAATAGTTTCCGAATGTAGAATATATTTCAGGTTTCATAGTTAAAACTTTCATTATTTGCATCCTGTGATATTATTGGAAATTTACCAAACAAACTGTTATTCTATAAATTATTGTACAATCATTACAATTTAAATATATCTTTTTACATCATTGAGTTGTTATCATGATTGTTTCTTTTCTAATGTGATATTTCAGAAATAAATTCTCATTACAATAACTATGAAAAAAATTATAATTTTGAGAATAAAATTCTCATGATGTTAGAAGTTTTGAGATAAATTTATGTACCTTTTCAAATAATTTTGACTTCATTTTTAAACTGAAGCCTATAACAATACAATCGTCAAGAAAATTTTAAAGCAATATATCCATGCAACAATAATATCCATGATATGCAAATTATAATTTATAATTCAGTATTCTTCAATTTAATAAAAACTATGATTCAACTTCAAAACTACAATTCAGTATTATTGACTCTTGAAATGCAAACAAGATGATATAACTCTGACAATAAATATCAATATTTCAATTAATAGAAGTTTTACATTTAAACAAATATTAAAAATTCCTTATGTCTACAAATTAACAAGCTTTTTCTTGCATTCACTATTTTCAATACTTTTCAATACTTTTCAACCTTCAACAATATATAATTGTATTTTATAAATAATAAATAAATAACATTATTAAAAAATAATCGTTACATTTTCAAAGTCAACAGTTGTTGCAGACTTTTGTATGTATTTTTCCCATCTTAAATGTATCTTGCTTAAAAAATGATTTATCTATATTATGTTGATAACTAAAAATAGATATGTCAAAATGAATTTTTTATAATGATAGTGAAATTTATTTTATTATGTGTATAATCTAAAATCAACATTTAATTTGGGAACTCTTATGATTGATATATTACGTCAAAGTCTAAGAACACAAAAAATAATAATTTGAAATAAAATATTTGATTCATTCATATGATCACATTGAAACTGTATCAAATGAGCAGACTACTATTCGATGTATACTCAACAACTTTGTGTGGTATCTATCTATACGGACCAACTTAACAAGATTAATCTAATTAAAATCAACTTACATGTGGATTAATTTCTAATAATTGCCCTCTTGATTCATAGTTAAGTAAGCTGAAATTCCATTTATTTTATCGTTTCAATAAAAGTTATAAATAAACTCAACATAAGATTATCATTTAGTATTAACTCGAATCAAACAAGAGTCATATCATAATAGAGTGAAATCAGATAGGATTTTATTGGTTTATAGTTATAATTTGTTTGTTTCCAGATACAAAAGATGCAAGGTGGCACAATGTTTTACAATTTTTTCAAATAAATTATTTTGCTAAAGACACTAGCAAAATATCATTGTTTATAAATCTTTATTGGTTCAATCATTTTTTCAAGCACACATTTTTTGATCTAATGATACACAATATTGATGTGCTTTAATTTTGTGTCAACATTAGATATAAAACACATCAATTATCATAGTAAAATTGCATTATATCATGCATTAATTTATCTTAATAATAAGTATATCTAAGCAAATTCTATACTTTGTTGTTTTTTTGTACCTACATTATAACTTTGTATTTGATGAAGTGATATATTTATTCAATGTTGATTTCTGATTTATGCATCCATTTTCAAATTCAACACATGTTTAATTGTATAAACTGCTTTTTGAAATTTCTTATAATGGTTAGTATATCTTTAATTAATCAATGATTAAGCATCAAATGATTTTTTTTGAAACACAAGATCTGAACTCATTGTAGTTTTGAGTTTCACATATTTTTATAACTTTTTTATCTACTTGGATCATATTTTAAAAAAATTTTAGACTTATATGTACAATGTTGACATCACAATTATCAAAAAATAATATTTAAAAAAAATAAAATGATATGATAACTGAAAGTGTCATACACATGACCTATGAAATTTTTGTAAATAATATATTTCATAAGAGATCTTGATATAAACCAATATCATTCTCATAACCTTCAATATCAAACTACATCATTTTTCTATATACTAAAAGTTATTTATAGAAAGGGTGAAGAAGCATCTACTTTTTTATTTACGGTAAACCCCTTGAAGATTGCCATAAAATTATTGAATTCATAAGTCAGGCATTCAAAATACCATTAGACCCAATTTGGTACAAAGACCTTAGTCTTGTAGAGATAAAGACTTGTGTAGTAATTCCGCTTGAATAAAAACGAATTTAGAATATTTATTACAGAACTCCAAACCTTTTCACGAGGTCCGTAGGGGGACGAGACCCGTAAGGGCAATTCTGATGATTCATGTAAAAGGTGTGAAATTGTTATTGTTTGTTAACTTTACAGGTTGCGCTGGTGTCCTGCATTACGTATGAAATATATACCATTAGTACAAAATAAAAAGTGTCATGATAATGATACTTTAGATTCAGATAATGACAGAACACAAACATTGCAAAAGTCTTGAGTTTTACAATTGAAAAAGTATGCAAAATTCAGTAAATTAATTTGATTATACAACAACTAAAAATCTAACATGCATTAGATGTATATTTGTTGTCTCTATTTCCGTTATTATAAACTTCCTAAATGATATTTCATCTCTAATATATAAGTTTATTATAACCACTTTAATTATAAACCATCTATTTTCAGGTAAATCAAATAATTTAATTTGTCTCATTCCACCATTCCCTTATAATTTCCATCTTGGTGTAACTTTTCACTGAAAATGCGCAAAATTGGCTAGTAATGTTCACATGAAACAATCATATGAAAGTGTAGAATGTTAAAGTGCAAGATTCAAGATAAGTCATGGTGAATCTTTGGATCAGATCTAAGTCTTGGTTTCAACTGTTTTTTTCTTTAGCTATATTTGGCAAGAACAAAAGCAAACATCAAATTACATAAAAATCAAATTGCACAAACTACAGACGAGAAATCTAAGTTATCAAACACTTTTGAATAATTGTGTTGATTCAAGATAAGCAGCCAACATGAAAATGAACGTAATATAATTTGACTAAAAAGTGAACATTTCACAAGTATTTTTTTGCCAAATGCAAATATAAGAAATCAGATGGCAAGTTCAAGAGACATAAAGTTTTTGGATAGTGAAAAAATTTAGAACAAAACCTTAGAGAATCTGTTGAGGCAAATAACATAAAATGTTGAATAACAACTTTGTTATTGTTTAAATGTTCATTTTTCTCCATCTATTTATATGAATTTGTTTTTGGATAACTGTCATTCCCATGCAACTTACCTCTTATAATGTAGACATGTCACAGATTTCCTTAAACACATATAATTTGTACTTTAGATTGCGGTAATCATTGGTATCCTAGAATAACACCCAAACTGTTGCAATTGTAACTATTTTGGTTTATTTTGAACTCATCGTATTCATTTGAATATAAACATCAGTTCATGCATTGTACATAAACCAACCAATTATACCTCACAATGTGCAATAACTAACCCGCTCGTCTCCAAGCAAATTCTTCTCTCCGAAGAGATCAGATTGTTGGATGCCACATTCGCCGGGAGCTCTAGCATATAGTCAAACAAGGCGTAAACATTGCTAAGCAGAGTCCAACATTTTACTTCAAATTTGCACCCAGACCATAACCATCAGCAGCGACCTAACCCCACCCATACCCATGCCCACCAATAGCATTACCTGTGCCCACCCACGGTACTCAAATTACGCAAATTCTTGGTTGATCTTGACAAAAACTGCCCTTAGCATTACTTGTGCCCACCCATGGGAAAATATTGTCACCCAAAACCCACGGGCATGGGTGTATTTGGGCATGGCTATGGGCACCCAATGTTGGGCTCTGTTGCTAAGTCAAGCCGTCCCGTCTAACGAAGCAAGAAATCATCTACATGTACGGTATAATCAAACGTGAAAGTTTGCAAGTACTCTATACTATGCTCCAAAGTTCATGTTATTTATATTTAGCTGTTTGGGAGACGGTCAATATTCAAGAGACTACATGCCCCTCTTACTGTTCGATCTTCCCACACTACTGACAGATTGTAGAGTCCAAATAATAAAGATTCTCTTATGAAAGTTAGACACGAATCCAGAAACGAGGAAATTAGAGGGGTTTAGGTTTAGGGTTTAACCTCATGTATTTATTTCTCGTCTAGCGAAACAAGAGAGCAGTATTCAAAGTCTTGAAGTCTTTGATTCTTTAAATCCGAGCAATGTCCGATGGAGGGAAGAAAATGCAGAGAAAAAAGCCTCAGGGAGATCTGCATGCCTCGTGTACATCTTGAATACGGAAACTGCGATCAACCGCTAGACGACATTCTTCATGGAATTTATGACGAGCACGCAGGCCAGTAGACGTCTACTAGTGTTTCGCTTTCAAAGTTCCACAGCGAGGGACGAGCGCAAACCAAAACCATCGAGAAATTGCGGCATGGGAGGGTGCGTATCAGAGTGTTTTGGCAGCGTGACTTCTTTCCATCTACCTCACGGACTTGAATTTCGAAATTTATGACGTCTCTTGGATTTTCCTCGATCAAAAGGTGGACGGTTGAATCGATCGCATGAGGTCTTGAGGCAAGCCGTGTGATCGAGTGTCTAGCAGCAATGTCGGGTTTTGGAGGCTCTTCGAGCGGGGGAAGTTCTGCCTTCTCGTTTGGAACAGGTTCAACCCCTGCATTTGGAAATACGTTCGGGAGTGCCGCTTCTAGTGCCTCGTCAGGTGGAGGATTGTTTGGAGCATCGCCTGGTTCTTTCTCCTTCGGTGGTTCTACAGGAGCAGCATTTGGTGGTGGCTTTGGAACTCCGTCGGCAGGAGGTGCTGCATTTGGGGCTTCATCAGCAGCTTCACCTTTCGGAGCGTCCACTGGAGCTGCGACCTTCGGGGCGTCTGCTGGGGCACCGGCGTTTGGGTCGGCAACACCATCTTTCGGAGCATCCACAGAAACACCTGCGTTCGGGGCCTCAGTTCCTGCTTCGGGTGGTGGATTCGGAACACCCACAGCTTCCTCTGTGTTTGGAGGAGCGTCCTCTACTCCAGCCTCTACTCCCGGTTTCTCGTTCTCGCAGTCCTCTGCCTCTGCGTCCATTCCCTCAATTTTTGGTGCCACCACCTCCAGTCAGTCTCCTTTCGGCGCCCCTGCTGCAGCTTCTTCTGCGTCTGGATTTTTTAGCAGCTCCAGCAGTTCTTCGTTTGGTGATGCGTCCTCATCGTCTGGAACGGGAGCATTTTCTTTTGGGAGTTCTCCTCTGAGTTTTGGCTCGAAACCTGTCAGCTCTGCACCTTCTCAGCCTGCAGCCTCTACTCCAAGTCCTTTCCCGTCCGCGGCACCGGGCTTCGGATCTTTAGCAAAACCGTCTGTCCCTGCCCAGGTTTCTACAGGTTCTCCATTCGGTGCAAGTGCGGCTTTCGGGTCTACAACGAGTGCTGCAACTGCAGCCTCTGTCCCCGCCTCCGGGTTTTCTATCGGTCAAAATGCTTCATCCGCGACTCCCTCAGCCTCTGCATTTTCAGCTGGAACTTCTGGAGGAATGCCCAGTTTTGGATTTGGCGCAAGTGCAACTCCCAGTAGTCAAGGGTTCAATGCCAGTGGAGGCGCAACTCCTCCTGCATTTAACGCAGGATCAAGTGGAGTATCGTTCTCGGGATTCAGTTTTACAGGAAATTCGTCTGGTGCAACTACTTCTACACCAACTACTGATGCATCAGCATCGAACAGCGGGGTGCAGTTTGGTTCATCCAACGTCCCCGCGTCTGGTACCGGAGCGATCCCAGCCTCTCCATCGATTTTCGGTTCATCTGCTCCATCTGCGTCACCTTTTGCTATGCCAGCAGCTTCTCCTCTGTCAGGCAGCACCGGTGCTGCTTCCTCAGGTCCCTCCACATTGCAGGGCTTTTTGGATCGTCAAGTTGAGCCAAAAAGCTCCATTTTTCCTGGAGCAGGGTCAGGATCAGCAGCTGGATCGACTTCATCGCCATTTAGTTTCTCCGTTGCAAGTAAACCGGCACCACAGTCTTCTCCTGCCGGATTAGCGGCTGCTTCACAGCCTAATCGTAAGCATTCGAAACTTAAGTCTCAGTTTGATCTATGTGGATCGACTTACACAGCATGCTGAGCTTACGTACCTCCTCTGTAAGTTTCTTACAACATTTGGTCTGGAATCACTACCAGCCTACAGGTTCAGTTTTCTCTTTTCGAATAATCAAAAAAATCATCAGCTGTCTCTGAAGGTCCTATCGGATAGAGGATATAATTGCAGACTAACTTACCTTTTCCTGGCAGTGACACAAACCACGACAAGCGCTCCTGGAAGTGCTGTGGGAGGAGCTTTCAAGTTCGCCATGGGTGGCAATACCGCAGCAACAGGAGCCACAACCACAGCTGGAGCTTCGACGGGCACTGCCAGTGCCCCTGCTGCAACTTCGACTATAGCCTCTACACAGTAAGTATCAGCTGAACGATGGTCAGAAAACAACAAACGGAATTCAAATTTCTCAACGTAATGAATGCATCTCTGGTTCTAGGAAGATAACTGGTTCAAAAATTACGAAATCTACTTTTCGCCTGCACCATTGTTTGCTTTCGATTCTGCAAACAGTGTGCAGAGGGAGGTGATTATGACTTCACATAGTCTCTACTAAGTGGATACGGGAAGCTACATGTGTATCATATTCTTCAAGTTTTCTCGTGTATGCTAATAATCACTGCCTGATAGTTACAAATCGTCGGGTATGCCTTAGATGTAGCACGTATGGTTGTGCCTTCCGGGTCGGTACTCTTCAGTCCCCTTGTGTGTGAGGACCTTGCCGTTGATCGCGTGTTGTTTCAATTGTCTTTGCAAATAGATTTGAAAGTAAATCTCCTATGGAGTTGTTTTTCAAATCTCACTATCTCATGAAAAGTCATCAGCAATTAGGGTACACATGTTGAGTTTGTTTAATGCAAAGTTGGTGACGTTATGATTGGAAGGGTCATCCTCATCGCCTTTAGGAGCATAATATTCTTCCACAGGCGAGATGCTTGGATATCTTCCATCGTCTGCATCAAAGTTCTTTATATCAATTGATGCCAATTGCTGGACACCGTTGGTCAAAGAAGCCTGTGGATAGAAGTGAGACTCTTGTGTGAACATGACTCCATACGTGCATGTTGAGCACCTGTCAGTTTATGCTTCACGTATTTGAGTTGCTTCGGAACCTTGCAGATGCACGTGCAAGGTCTTGCTCTGACGACTGCAAACATTGGCAACATTTTGTGTGGATGTCTAATAGGGTCACGACTGGTGCAGTTCCAGCTTCAGCCCCGCGTGCTCCCAAACCACCTTCAGAAATAACTGGCAAATCTGTGGAGGAGGTATGAGTGAATTCCCGTTTAGCCGTTTATTTTTGGGCAGTGACGTGGCTAGCCTCAAATGTCTCGACTGTTACCAACTTCATGGACCTAACTCATCCCTTTAAGGGTGTACAGTCGTGTAGGCTATTGCAATGTAGTTGGTTTTTATCCTCCCATGTACGTCAATTAATTACTTGACGCCCTACCCTGTGAAAAGCTTTTATGTAGGTCTGAATTAGATTTTCAGTTCCACAGGCAATGCACCTTCACCAGGGGAAAAAAATATTTTTTAAATCCAAATGAAATAACAAACATATTGTGTTTACGAAGAAGTGGAGGATTGGTTGCTCCTCACTTTGGTGGACTACCCTTTCAGCGCTCAATCTTGGTTTACTTTTAGCCTTACTTTTACTCGTATCCACAGATTATCAAAGAGTGGACTCGTGAGCTGCAAGAGAGAACCGGGAAGTTCCGGAAGCAGGCCGAAGCTCTTGGAGAGTGGGATCGTAGAATCATCAGCAATCGAAATGTACTCATCAAAGTCGAGGTATACAGTCACCGTGTGCCTGTTTTTTCTGATTTCTGCGTGGTCTTCAGGCAAGATACATACACGTAGCAAACTTTTCCTTCACAGAAGTCCTTGTGTACAATGTGGCCAATGTTGTATTTCGTTTGTCCCGGTAGTAATAACGAGGACTTTTTGCAGAGTGAAGTGGCGAAGGTCGTGGAATCTCAACACAGTCTCGAGAGGCAGTTAGAGTTGATCGAGACTCATCAACAAGAGGTACATGTCTCGAGTATCAGTGAATACTAGATAATCTAATTATTTGAAGGTGATAGACCGGGATATAATCTGTATCTAGTTTTCTTGTTCCTAACTGTTCGTAACGTCTGTACATTTGGTTAAGGGTGTATGTAATTAAGTTGCTGTTACCTCACATTTTTTCCAGCATTTTCACAGCATGAGAAGTCATTTTTAATCAGGGGAGGTATGTCTTTCCTCGTCTCCTCTCATGAAGATAAGTCGGCATGGAATAAACAGTGTTCTAGACAGTTACCTGATGTTATTCTCTGCAGTTAGCAGCTCTTGTCTATGCTAACGGGAGTACTCCGGAGTGGGCGCAATTTCATTGCTCATTTTTAGCATCATGGATTGTTTGGAAGACTTGGCCTCCACACTTTACCTTCTAAGGGAACTTTTGTCGCCTCCGATGACGTTGGATGTATAACAATTGTTCTGCCGAAGATTATCTGGAAGACTTAGTACTTACGGTAGTTTTTAGTTGTAGCTAAGCTTTCACGTGGTGAGCACTAAATTTCCGCTGGACACCTGTGTTTCTTCCTTCTGAGTTGGCTCTTGCTTCCTTCTCAGCGAAGATGATGTGACAAGGCGTTTCACAAACTCTATCTAGCACTTCAAATAGATCGTGATTATAATACGCGTGATTTGTGACCGGAGAATATCCAGTTGATTGATGAGGCAGGCAGGGAAGTCAGTGTTCTAATTGCAAAGACTATCGCCTTGTTTTGTGTCGTATTTGCAAAAACAAAGGTAGAGAAAGCGCTGGAGAGTATGGAGGATGAAGCGGAGAGATTGTACCGAGAGGAACGGCCGAGGTTACTCGAGGATGAAGCAGCAGCAACTAGAGACAAGATGTAAGTCGAGAAGTGAATAAATCTTGTCTTTGGGAAGTCAATGATTGTGCTCACTGAATTGGATATGTGTTGGCTCACGGCGTGCTGTTGACGTGATAACTTTATTGGTTTTGCAGGTACCAACAAGCAGAGTTTGTTGAGAGAGAGGTAGAGCGACTAGGAGTGAAACTGAAAGATACTATCCAAAACATCAACGCCACGCAGGTCTTTTTCTTTTTCTCAACAGCCTTCTACAAATTGTGTCTCTCCGAGAAAACACTGTAGATCATTCGACTAAGTTGCTTGATCCTTGTCGTTATATCTAAGTTACAGAAAAATTTGAAGGCTCCGCTTGTCTTCCTGCTTTCAATATAAGATTTTGAACCTGTCTTGCGCAGCTCAAGTTCTTGTTCTTGGCTGTTGCGTTGCATTCTTGCCTTACTGGCCGCTCGTTGCTTGCGTTCAGGGCGGAGATTTGGATGTCGTAGAAGGGGCTAGTCCGTTGGACTTAGTTGTGCGGATCTTGAACAACCAATTAAGTTCTCTCTTGTGGATCGATGAAAAGGTGAGAAGTTTACCTTATCTTATTTGCGTAGTGACACCCATTCTTGCCCGCCAGGCATTTACTTGACGTGCAGTCTTGAGTTTTCTTTCAGTTCGCTTGTGATTAGAATCCGGAGGAAGTTCGTTTCAAGCCTTAGGCGGCTCACTGTTTTCTTCATAGTGAAAGGATGTTCTAACCTCGATTCTTCTGTGTACGCTGATTTTTTCCAGTCAGGAGAGCTTTCTGGACGTATTCAAACACTGTTGTCGGACCAAGCTGCGTACTACGACCGAGGCTATGTCGTATCACGCATGAAAGGATGAGTTTTGCCCTTCATAATATACGGCCACAGAGTATGTTTCAGTGACAAAGTGCGCATCTAACGGACCATCACATTTCAGCTATAATGCATGAATATCTCATGTTCAGATTCAAGGTCCGACAGATCAGTCGCCCCATCCCCACGCACAGTGGCAGTTGGGATTTGTCTTCAACGAAGTCTCGCTTCACGGTTCTTTGCTTTCGTATCACGAAGAAGGATGATCGGGACAATTTGGTGGAGACGCCGGCACGATTCATCTGCAGTTGTCCGCAGTTGTACGTGTCTGGACCTTCGAGATTCCAGTTCTAGAATCATGTTGACTGGAGAACGTCAATACTTTGGCGACAATGGGATGTAGAGCACTTAACTGAGAATGAAGATGATCTATATCCACGCGATATTTCGCCTGTAATTTTCAATCTGTATCATTACAACTAGCAGGTTCTTGTTCTTAGTCTGAAGTGCACGTGAACAACCACTCTTCAATTTCTCATCGACTGTTTCGTTACACCTGATAGTTCTTCTGCTGGAACCCATCCTCAGGGATGTTTTTTTTGTGGATCTGAGCGCTTTGCTTCTTGTATCCTCCGACTGATTCTGGCCATTAGAAAACCCTGATGAAAGCTATTCACATCTGCCTGATTTCTTCTTTGAATTCTCGCCAGCCCGCAAAATCATAGTGAGTGATTATCATGAGGAAATCAGCGTAAACTCATCTTATCCAAAGGAGCATGGCACTGGATACGGTCTTTGCAAGCTCTCTACTTTTCTAGTTGCTGCATCCTGTCCACACGTGCCCCACAGTTTTCTTTTACACTAGCTCTGTCTCCTAATTTGAAGGCAAGAGGTGACGTATCCTCAAGTCAGACATAGTCAACCGCTGCACTTTAATGTACTTGTGCAACGAAGTAACCACTCGGGATGTTACCTGGAAGGAAGTCGAACGCACTTGGGGAGGATAATGGGCGTGGGTGGTGTTGTAACCTGAAAGCCCCATAAGGGAAAACACGTCGACAGACAGGATCTTAAGACTCGGTACACAGGGCAGTGCCAGGCCAAAGGCGTACGAGGATCTCATGTTATAACAAGTCTATCCCAATGAGGAATCAATTAGCGAGCTCATTAAAGTAGCTGGGGATGAAGGTGCTAATCTAATGAATACATCATTCATGTGCCAAGCTTGGCACATGTAAATTTGCCTCATTAAGAGACTTACTGACGACGTGATCGTCGGTTGCAACTTGGACAAAAGATGACTAGCCGGAAACATGCTAGTGAAGGAGGCATATCTCAATGTTGTATGTTGAAAACTGCACGAGTGAACATGTAGAGTGGGATACGTCTCGACCTCAATGGAGTGTGACAGTCGTCGGGTTTTCGCATAGGTCGAAATCGACCTACGCGTGTGTTCGCACAACTACATTGCGTTGGCTAAGCGTTCATACTTGGTATCTAAATGTTCGTGTACAACTTATTCTCAGTCTCCGGAAAGCTTGACAAGTTGACGGGGTTCCTGAGTTATCAATGTCAAGATTAAAGATCTGATGACTGGAGACTGCACGACATTCTCAAATGAATTAAAGTTCCCTATCTTTAATTGAGACTCAGAAGTTGATTGTACATGCTCACGACAAGACGGCAGACGGGAACTCCTTATTAGACATTCATAATTTGGACTAACAAGAAAGCTCAGCAGTCCACCTCTGGCATGAAGACATATAAGATAATAATACAAGCTTATGACAATGGCCGTACAAGCAAATTCTCTTTGTGTACTCATGATGTGGATTGATAAGGAAGCCTAGCAGTCCACGAACGGAAAGTTGGGTGCAGTCAGGCCATTCCGGTCGGTCCCGTTGATGGATGGATGGAACCGGGAAGAATAGCAGACACCGTGCGAGCACTTTATCATGTGCTTTTAGCTTCAGCTCGCTTCATCCAGAAGTTGAGGTCCAGAGTGGTTGCCGTATGTGGTGGGCCTGGCCCCCGTCTTCGCAGGATTTGGATTTGCTTGTTCTCTAGTGACTCAAGTTTATCCTCAGTTTATGGTCGGGCATTCAATGCTCTTCTGTGCATTATTTCTCTGATTATGTCCACTCGCCTTCCCAGCTACGTGGGACTCTGGGAAGTCGATGCCTCAATGTCGCGACTCCTCAACAAATCTCACTCCAGTTTCGCAACTTCTGGTTACCACCATTCACCTTATCTTGCTTCCTGAATTGTAAAGGTATCGCGCAAAGACTTTTGGAAGCTGAATATTTCAGTAAAAAGTTGTGGTCTGATATTTTGAATTTATTAAAGTGAATCATCGCAACTACATGGATTCTAGATATATAAATGACCGAAGGACAAGAATTGGTTGAAAGTCTTTATCGAACAGAAATTTCATAAAATTATATGGAAAAAAATGTTCCTCATATAGACATTTTTGGAATGCATATAAACAAAAAATAAATACTTGAACTACATATATATACGGTGAATGCATTACTTTTCCTTACTGCTGATATTACGCTAATAGCTGAGTAATTTTTAAAAAAATCAACGATCGACATATTGGTAGACAAACCGCATTCTCAAGAGGTGACGATTACCATCGAAAGGACCAGGAAATGAGCACTCGATTGTAGATCCCAAAATCCCCTGCAGAAAAATGACCCGCGGGAACTAAATGGCTACGAGATAAATGGGAACCAAAGGGGAATATACTCTCCAAGGGGTGAGAAAATGGGAGAGCGGAAAACCCTAAACCCTGGGGTCGGGTCGGTCTGGAGGGTTCGGGCCACATCAGCACGAGCGAGGGTGGGAGGATGAGGCAGCCAATGGCAAAGGTTTGGAGCATATCCGCATCGGAGGGGGACGGCACGAGAGCCCCTGTGGATCAGAGGGTCCATACGTGTACGTTGCATCGCCCGCTACCTCCGTCTCTCCTCCGCTCGGGCTCCGGTGCGCTCTCGGCTTATCAAAAGGGATCGCCATCGCCTGCGCCTCCCTGACCCGTGCCGACTCCACTGGCTGGCCTACCGACCTCGACGGATTATAGCGCTGCCCTCCATCCGGTCGCATCCCATCCCATCCCATCCCATCCCATCCGCGCCCGCGCGCCCCGTTTCTTACCTGCCTTATCATAAGATCAATTTCCTCGCTTCCGCAGGCCTCTCTTTCTCAAGCCTCGAGCTGCGCCTGCCTCACGCTCGCTTCCTCGAGCACGCGCGTCCTTCCCCTTCCCTTCCTCGCGGTCGTTGTTGGGAAGAGAGTAGGCAGCGATGGCGAGCTGCACAGCAATGTCTGCTGCGGTCGCTCCTTGCGTTTCCGGAAGCGCCGTGAGGGCTTCCGATGCCGCTGCTTCTGCCCTGAAGCCCTCTCCTCTCGGTTGCAAGGCCGCAAGCAAGTTGAGCTCTAGCGCTGCTTTCAGTCAGCTCAGCTTCTCCGAGGCTGCTCGCCCCGTCGCATGGAAGGAGTTCAGGTGCGTCTTTGTTCTTCTGCCTTGGTCCTTTCCTGTCGTGTGGTTGCGGTTTGGTCGTTTCGGTGGGAATTGTTGTTTGCGCTAGTCCTTGAGTTTCCAGGGTTTTGCCCCTTGAGCGAATGCTTGTCTTCAGATACTACGCCGAGTTTCGTTTCTTTCTGAATTGTGTTTCGTTCTTCTTCTGGGCTGTCTTCTGCTTGTAAGATTCTTCCTTTGTCAAGACGTGGACAATTCGATCCGTAGTGTACTTTCTAGCACATCTTGGCTTTTACACTCTTTGCATGCTCTGAGTTCATTGACAGTGAGGTTAGTGTCTAACGTTTTCTGCCCATCCTCACATTCTGCAGCTCCAACGCTGGCCGCAAGGGTGTTCTCGTTGTCAGAGCTGCCCGTGGAAAATTCGAGAGGAACAAGCCCCACGTGAACATCGGTACCATCGGACATGTCGACCACGGAAAGACCACTCTCACCGCAGCTCTCACTATGGCCTTGGCCGCCATTGGAGGTGGTGCTGGAAAGAAGTACGAAGACATTGATGCTGCACCCGAAGAGAGGGCCAGAGGTATTACTATCAACACGGCCACCGTCGAGTACGAGACTAGTGCTCGTCACTACGCTCACGTCGACTGTCCTGGACACGCTGATTACGTGAAGAACATGATTACTGGAGCTGCGCAGATGGACGGTGCCATTCTCGTTGTGTCCGGTGCGGACGGGCCCATGCCCCAGACGAAGGAACACATCTTGCTCGCGAAGCAAGTCGGTGTGCCAAACATGGTGGTTTTCTTGAACAAGGAGGACCAGGTTGACGACACCGAGTTGCTGGATTTGGTCGACATGGAGGTCCGTGAGCTCCTGACCTCGTACGAATTCCCCGGTGATGATATCCCAATCATCTCTGGGTCCGCTCTTCTGGCATTGCAAGCCTTGACAGCGAACCCAAAGATTCAAAGGGGTGAGAACGTGTGGGTAGACAAGATTCTTGACTTGATGGACAACGTTGACAGTTACATTCCCATCCCAGTCAGGCAGACAGAATTGCCATTTTTGATGGCCGTCGAAGACGTGTTCTCCATCACTGGAAGAGGAACTGTGGCCACCGGTCGTGTTGAGCGTGGAATTGTTAAGGTTGGTGAGACAGTGGAACTTGTCGGTTTAAGACCTACCAAGGCCACTACAGTGACTGGTCTCGAGATGTTCCAAAAGGAGTTGCCCGATGCCCAGGCGGGAGACAACGTTGGTATGCTTTTGAGAGGAATTCAAAAGGATGATATCCAGAGGGGTATGGTGTTGGCCAAGCCTGGATCCATCACCCCCCACAGTTCCTTCGAGGCATCCGTCTACATCTTGAAGAAGGAAGAGGGAGGAAGGCACAGACCCTTCTTCGCCGGTTACAGGCCCCAATTCTACATGAGGACCACTGACGTGACGGGCTCAGTTGAGAGCGTCGAGACTGACAAGGGTGAGGAGACCAACATGGTCATGCCCGGTGATCGCGTGAAGATGACTGTTAACCTTATCAACCCAATTGCTTGCGAAACCAAGATGAGGTTCGCCATCAGGGAAGGAGGAAAGACCGTAGGTGCCGGAATTATCTCCAAGGTCATGAACTGAGTGATGAGAACTTCGTTATTTCGATGTCCAATTAATTTTGGGAAGACTCTTGTAATCTTCAAGGCCTGGATCCTCCGGAATGCGCAGAAAAGAGTGAGAAAAATCGATTACTTCTTGAAGCCTCATTACTGATTGTAATGTAGTTCGGTAGTAAGCTTATCATCTCCTGTCTGTGGATCTCACTATCAGAGGCCAGGCACCTCCTTTAGAGATGTAGGCCGAATGTTATGCGGTTGAAGAATGTAGAGGAAGGTTAGTCATTAGGAAGGAGGTCTGTGTAGAACTTAAATTCGATTCTTTACTGCATTGGTATAATACATTTGTATCTGTCCTCAGCTGGTTAACGATAACTATCAATGAAACTTGCCAGTGAAATTTCGCTGCGTTAGGATTTAACTCCAACATGAGGATAAGGTTCTAAATTGTGTTGTTGCCGAATGCACGGTCAAAGTCACTAAAATAAAGTGGTTTTTTCTGTTGATACAAGTAAAATACTGAAGGCCAAAAGTGGCATAATCACTCTCATGTTTCTCCAACTTGGAAGGTAGGAATGTTGGGCATTATGAGGACCGATATGACAATTATTGCTGCCTCTTCTTCAAAATGTTGAAATGTATGCAAAACTGAGTAGATTAACGCGTGAAATCATGTAAGATACTAAGAAATAGGTGGAAAGGATATAGAAGTAAAATAACGAATCTGTCGACCGGAAGTGTTATAGCTGGATGATAATCCCTGTGGGCGTTCAGAACAAAAAATGCACCGGCCAATACATGTGAAGAATATAAGCACATCACATAAATGTAAACTCTCTGTCTAGTTGATACTCGTACATTTCGTCCCACACTCCCGAAATTCTCAACATACGAATTTGGGGTTTAGAGCTTGTCTCTGGAGTCTGAAATATTCACATTTGTCCGTCAGTGTAAATGCACAATCTGTGCACTTGCATTATATTCTTATTTCTTCAACACCACCACACGAACATAAATGTAGATTTCAGGTTGTATAGATACTCATTTGTCCACAATTTCCCGCTAGCTTATTATGTTATATATCATAATTTACTTGGCAAACGCGTAATGTAAATAATATAAAAGACTTACAGTTGGTCAAATAACTCATGGTTAGTATGCATTCAGATTTATTTAGTTGAACGTGTCATAGATTCTCATTTGGCCTAAATTTTGAAGATCCTTCCGTTTGGTAATTTACATTCCCGATGAGTACATCATGAATAAGAACGATGTTTCTCGCTAGTAGGCAAGAAAACAAGCCATGATTGTCCATATTGTAGACATTTTGATATCATATTGGACAATAAAAGCTTAAAGTTCGTCTAAAAGTTCGAACAATCCATGATCTGATTTTTTAACTTCTGTTCTTCTCCTCAGAACATCATCTTTTGGGACCCTCTATGCATTGTGAATTGACTTAGGCATTACCAACATTAGTTTCCATAATCGATAAACTCACAACAAATTTTTTACTTTGGAGAAATGAAAGATTGCAGAATAGGAAGATTGGAATGATGCATGTTATAAATCTAAACATAAAGTATGTCTTCAAGCTCGGTGAAACTATCAACAAAGTATTGAAAAGTGCAACATTAAAAATTAAGAGAGAAAGTCATTCTAACATGAAACACAACTCTTAAGATTAAAGAAATCTAAATTGTTTTACTCTCCCTTGTGTAGATTTTATCAACAAGTACAAGGAAAATCTATATGAAAATCTTTAATCTTCACTTTTATTATGTATTTAACTCCTAGTGGATTTCGTCATTCAGAGACACGTAAAACAACAACAACCAAATGACAGTCCATCAGAGTTGTAAACACAAGAGAAGAAGATAACGTGGTTCATGTGGCGCTTAGTTTTTTCGATTCATGCATAAATAACAAAAACTTGAACATATTTGTGATAGAACATATTCATAGAAGTCCTTAGACATAGGAGTTAGTTGAATTACTGCCAATTTAGTCAAATAGGAGAAGGAAAGTGAAATCCACCTTGGGCCGAAGATCTTCGGATCATCAGCACAACCAATTTTTAGGATGCAATAGCCGGACCTTCGGCGAAAACAATAAATCCCAATTTGAATTTTTGAAGTGCTGATCAAAATCCGCACGCGTTGGAAGTATCAATTCGCGCGCGTGTGAGAACCGTTAGGACGTCGAGGGTAAGACTTACCCTCGACCCTAAACTAAACTTAACTTCGTGCCCTTACCCGATAAGGGCACAAAGCGAATACATTTGCGCCTACATCGCGACATTGATAGAGAGAGAAGTGCATTCGATCGACCTTGATAGCAGCGAAGACGCGACTTGAGACATGATGCCACCCATGACAGCTAAGGTGCAGAAATTGGTAATGCTTAAGGTGTCATATGCGGAGTTGCGACCCTATTGGCGAGAGCTCGTCGAACTACATCTGGAATTCTTGCTATGGGATTGGAATTGCGTTTCGGCGACCATCTGCAAGGACATGATGGATAAGAATTGTAACGAGGGGGATGACCTCCGGAGCAATCCGATGCTGTGGACAATCAATCATTGGACGAAGATTCTAAAACCGTGTGCAGGGAAGTATGGAGTTTACATGTTTGAGAAGGAAAGTGTGAAGATAACGCGCGAAGAAGAATTTACCTTTGCTCCATTCTTCAAGAACGCGAAGTCGGGGACGAATGGGTAAAAGACGGCAGATTACAAGGACTCGAAGAGTCGTGCAATTGTGTTAGGAGTAATGCATATTCTGCGACCGCAACGCACGACCTATGTCAATGCATGAAAGGTCGGCTTCTTCGAGCGCGCCTTGAAGGGAGAACCAATCCATTGGGTGAGGATCTTCAACGACCTAATTTGAACCAATGTCAACATCCGATGGAAGGAAGGTCTGATTAACCACATAACACCATACTTAGTGAATTTCTATAGAGGGATGTGGTTATTAACAAAGGATGAGGAGAAACGATTTCCGAAGGAACAGGAGGTGCTGGCAATTGAGTCGAGTGAGGACACAAACGAGGAAGACAATGTCCAAGCTAAAGAGCCACCTCGAAAAACAGCACGCGGGCCAGTTCAAATGGATGTTGTCGCGACTAGAGAACAACCAGAGAGTAGATCGGCGAAGAGACATAACTTAATCGCTGATAGTGGAGAAGGTCAAAGACCGAAGTCTTGGATGGTAGAGACACATGTGACGGAGATCAGGATGTTGAGGATTCGGGCCAAGCCCAAGAAGAAAGCGAATCGCATGAGAGTTGTGTCCGATTCTTTGGAGAGTAGTGTGGCGAAATCGGATGCAGCTGCCTCTATGACGGACGAAGAGAAGAGGGAGGAGCCAACTTTTCAAGCAGTAGAAGGAGGACTTCGGAAGTATATGTCGAAGTCTTTATGGACGTACAAGCAGAACTTTCGGAGGAAAGGTCGAAGATGGTAAGTCCAATTCTACAACCTTTGGAGCAGATGCAGTCAATGGAGACTGAGGAAGTGCCTCAGCCGAAGACGAGTGAAGAGCTGGCGAAGGAGCTCACGACGATGAGTGAAAAATTACTCGAGCAGGTTGTTGCGCAAGTTGGAGAGGCAATAGTAGCTGCCCCTGGGATTCCATCATCGCCACCACCTGAGTAAGATGTAAGATCCGAAGTAGAGAAGAAGACTTCGGAGGAGGAACCGAAGGAGTTAGATGTTGCCTTCCCCGATTTCATGCATGATAGTGTAGTATCTCTATTGAAGTATTTGGATAAGAAGAGAGAGAAGTACGTTGTCACTAAGGAGGTAAGATTTTATGTAAAGTTAGTGAGGAATATGACTCAGATCAAGAGAGTAGTAGCGGTGAAGAGAGAATGGGAGTACGCAACTGCAATGGCAAAAGAAAGAGTTGCGAGCTTGTCTTACAAGTGTGCAACCGTGAAAGTGGTGTTGTAGGAGCGAGAGGACCATCTTCGGGCGAAGGAGATGGAATGCGAAGTTCTTCGTTTGAACTCAGCGAGAGAGAAGGATCTTCGTGAGTCGACAGAGCGGAAATGCGCGAGTCTTCGCATTGACATCGAGAATGCGCCGAAGACAACAGTAGATCTTCGGCATAGATTGGAGGCATCTAAAATGGCCTACATTGTGGAATCGCTGTTCGTGAATGAGTTGACTGTGGCTTCGGCACAGCCCAATTAGCTACATGCAGCGGAGTTAGCGCAGGAGAAGGAGGGTAGAGCCGAAGAGGAACAAAAGGTCGAAGATCTTCGGAGGCACATTGTCGCAATGAAGAAAGAGCTAAGGAGTAGGATTGGAGAACACATCGACGCTCATAACAAGGAAGGTGCAACACGCGAACAAGCTTACGGCACGTTTGGCGGAGCAACTCCAAAGCACTCAGCTATATAAGCCGATTGGGCTAAGAAATTGGCAGATTGCAAATTGGCCCGGTTGAATGTAGAGTAAGATTTGAAGCGGATTGCGGACGGTTGCAGGAGCAGTTATAGTTAGTTGCGGTGCAGTTAAAGGAGTCGCGGGCGAGAGCAAAAAAGTCAAAGGCGGTGTATCAACAGCTGCGGGACGAGTCAACCGATAGTTTGCGTTTGTGTGTAGATAAGTGCTTACGCGATTTTGTAATGTGGGAAGTCCAAACGTTGAAATGCTTGAAGTTAGATTCGTTGGAGCGGCGGTTGATGAGCATGAAGAACAGCGGACATGCGACACAAACACAAACAATTAGTTAAGCTAGTTAATTTTTTCTCTTCCGATTGGAAGAGGCGCGAGAGAATATAGAGATAGAGATTGTAACCGTGTTACGTAGGTTAGGAACCGATGGAAGCTCAAAAGACGCTGTAACCGCTGCGTCGGATGGCACCGCACTTGGGAGTAGTTCGACTCGGGCGGTTGAGATGTCTAGAAGTTCAGAGTGAATAAAAAGATCCAAGTATCTTTTCCTTGGGGGGCTTTTCTGTCAATTGGCTTGTCTTGGCTGTCAATCTGTATCCAACTGTGTGCGTTTGTGAGTTTGTGTGTTCTGTCACCGTGCATGGTGCCTCTTTGATTTGTCAAAGTTACTGCATCAAGAGCTGTGCGTGCCCAATTCGGATGTTCTGAATAAGCCTAGTACTCTTCGGGATTTAAGCAAATTCGAGTCTATGCATTTGGGTAAGTAAGCTGAGAATGTGCAATTCTGGGAAGTTTCCCCTTGAAATCAAAGTGCGAGGTCGAGGGCGGTTCCCGCAGGTGTCTATTGGATAAGTTTCAGGATTGTGTGGATGATTATACTCTGCTCTTTGGGACTTTGTCCGTAATCAAGTAGTCTTCTGGGAGTGACATGTGACTGAGAAGTAAAACTCTTCAATAGAATGTTAATTAGTGACAAATCGTGACTCTTGGAGTTGCATCTGTATCTATGGGAACAAATCTTCATCATTTTGCTCCATTTTGGTATTTGTTGATTATCACAGTTCACCTAGGTGCAAGACTTTGTTCACGGCTGGAACACGCAAGAATGAATGTATCGCCAATAGTGAAAAAAGCTTCGTACAGTCTGAAATCACTTGAGTTAAGTAACCTCTAGTCCTAACGACTTTCTAACTATATTTAGTTAGAGAGAAGATTACTTCTTAACAAATGTTAAACTCTTCTACTTAACTCATGTGAAGTAAATAGTAAACTCCTTCATCTATATTATTACTCCGTAAGAAGTTCTAGGAAGAAATTTAACACAAGATTACTATTATCAACCAGAGTTAACTAGAACATAGTTGTAGCCATAATATGATAGAGTAATAATATAAAAAGTTAACTAGTTATCATAAAACAAACAGTAACCAATATAATTAGTCTGCGGGAATTTCTAGAAAGAAACCTAACATAATGCCCATCTTTATATCAAGGCTTAACTAAAATAGATTAAAACCATTACAAGATGGAGTAATTACACATGATAGAGTAATTTTATAAAGAATTAACACAGGATAAAATAATTATGTAAAGAGATAATTGAAGATACTATGATAGCAAACATCTTACGTGCTCCTCATCCACAATTTGCATAGTAGCACAATGTCGCCTGAAACTTTTCAATGGAATAACTTTGGTCAACGCATCAACTGGATTCTTATGCATCTAGAATAAATAACAAGGCCAAAAGTAACTACTCTTCATGAGTGATTCGTATGGACTATTATACACTTTAGGCCATACCTTTATGGCACCAAGTTTACCCTATACACCGACCATCAACCATTTGAGTGACTGATGACCAACGACAAGCTTACCGTCAAGCTAGTCTTTTGGTTATTCACTTTGGGGATATGTGAATTTGAGTTGATTCACAAACCTAGTGTCACCAACCAGAATGCAGACACTATCTTTAGAAGATCATTGATCACTTCAAAGAATACCTTGGATGCAAGACAAGACTTTGATCAACTTGCTTTTGATAGCCATGTCACATGCTTCTAGCTACTTAGTCTTGCTGCAATGTTATGCAGCTGATCAACTTGTGTTTGATATATGACAGTACATGTACACTTGGAGATTGTTGCAGCTTGAAAAATATCCTTCTTAAGTTACTTCAGGTCTGAGGGATCGTATCTAGCGACGATCTAAGCGCTATGCATGGAAGAACGAACATCTAGTTCGGCGCTTGCCTCAAGGTGATAAAATGGTTTTCCCACCATATGAAAGGGCTGATCTGATCAAAAAGATACACTCAGAGCTTGGGCACTTTAGTGTGAAGCATACTTATAGCATGATGTCACGTCATTACTATTAAAGATGTACACTCAAGTTTGTAAGATGCTGGCTAGATGCGAGGAATGAATTGGGTGCAAACTTTTTTTTCCTCCCAACAGGTCACATTTCATCCACTACCTATCATGAGCTTGTTTCATATCATGGTCTTGTGATTTTGATGATGATCAGTAGAGTTAATAATTACATCTTGATCACGATATATCATTTCTCTAAGTGGATTGAGTTAGTTGTCATGCTAGATAATACCTCTCAAAGTAACAACCAGACTTTTCTCCAACAAGTTCTTAGCAGGTTTCAAGCATGTGCAGAGTGCCTCACTGATCAAGGATTCAAATTTAGAGTTGAATTTCAAGATCTACTTGACCATGTCTTAATTGATCATTGGTGCAAACTTGCAAGATGGGAGTGCAAAAGCTTTGTCTCACTTAAATAAGAAGGATTGGAATCTAGCTCTACTCTACTCTGCAATGGAATATAGAATGTCCAAGCATGCATCATCCTCAAAATTTATTCCTTGTTTACTTTTGTTTGGAAGTCATAAAGTAACTCCTTCAGCCATTGCTTCACAAATGTACCAATTCGTGGACTTGCACTCTAAGTCTACATGGACTAGAGTTATTTTAGAGAGGGATGCTCTATTTAAGAGAGTTATGCTAATGGTTATGAAAAACTTGCAAATCGCATAGCATCGAGATACATTAAAATGTGTTTATAGAGAGGTGGTAGTTACAAGTCAAAGATGCGGCAGTTTGAAGTTGATGATTTTGTTTATCTACAAAAGCATCCCAATGATACACTGGACACTTCTACTAGTTGCACCATTTTGCGTCTAAAGACAATCAGGACTTCAAGCGTGCTAGAGTTGCAAGGAACAGGAAAACGCATCAGTAAAAAGCACTCCAAAAACTACGCATCATGGCATTTGCCTAACTTGAATCCTACCATCGTTACCTACACATGCATTTCTCCGCTTGATCATGCGTGTCAAGTATGTGAAAGTATAGATGATGTTGATCAGATGCTGTTATGCGACAATTGCAAAGCAAATTATCAAATGTTTTGCCTTACACTGGAGCTCACACAAGTTCCGTTAAGCTTCTGATATTGTTCTAAGTGTACTCTATAACTATCTTTTGTTTTTCAAACCTCTTATATGCAATATCCTCATATTTGGGTATATGAATGATGCTTTCTTTACATATTTATTCACATCAATTGCTACTAGCTTGTACTTCTTGTACTTTTTTCGCTTAAACACCACACACAACTTTGGATGTAGGTTCAAATTTGTGCACTAGTGTCATTGTTAGTGTTAGTATTAAGTTTGATTGACTTACAATCAACAAGCATGCCAAAGAGTTTCTTTGATAGAGTATTATGTTACAATACCATATGTCATGACAACATGATTTGTCTCTCGTTTTGGTGTAGTGCGAAAAATCCATGATCTCTTTGGAGACGTCATTTCGTTCACCGTTTGATTCAAATGCCGGAGCTCTTGCTCTACGGGCAGCAATAAGCATGCTTTTGGTATTAGTCTTAAACGTAAGAGTCATCATGTTCATGTGTGGATTCAAAATCATTTTGTTGTTGAAAAAAGTTTCAAAGGAATGTGGTTTGAGAGCCTATTTCTTCATTGATCTTTAGAAGCGCAGGATCAAGGACTAGTGTCAGCATTGATAACGAGCGAGCCAAATGCTTATGATATTTTTGCAGCATCCTTTGACTCCGGTGCTGTGAAACCAATACTCATCATACTATTGATGATATTTTGGCATTGCGACTTGAGCAATTCATAAACCAGAGATTTATTAGATAATGTTGCATATTGTTTGCTAGAGAGAATTGTCATCTCATAGGCAGGAGGAAGTAAATCTTTGAAGCACTTCAAAACACTCCACTCAATCATACTCAAAGTTAAAATCTTACCATAGTGTTCATACATGTTTGAAATAGATTGTTAAGCTTCAATTAGTATGTAGGACAAATCAATTATTGTAAACATTTTATTTCACTGGTTCTCGACATCAAGTTCATGAGCTTCTTTAGTTTTGTGTTTTGCATTCCTAGAAGAACTTGGACCTTATTGAAATCAGATGTCATTCAAGATAATAAGCAGATAGTCTTGAGCATTGTGCAAAGAATCTCCACTTTGGATTTAATTATTGTTTCTTTGTCAATTATTGCACAATGCATGATATGGCACACACAACGAAGGTGTCACAAATTTGTAGATTAACACCAAACTTATTCTTAAGTTCATCGCATAGATGTTGTAAAGAAAAAATTATTTCACTCACATTGTCCGTCGTTGCAAATAGAATTTTTGTGTGCTCATTTGTTACTATTAAGGAAAATCGTTACAAAGCACCATTTTGAATCATTGATCATGAGTTGATGGAAATTATTTAAATAAAAAATGTAATCGCGTAACGTGTAGGAATCATCTACCCATTGAAAGATAATAAAAAAGTAACTCCGCAAAGTTTTGATGTACCATACTTTGCAAGTGACTGCCACGCTTCATGGAATTGATTCGACAATTTCATAAACCTGTTTGATTGCGGTAATTATCTCATTTGTTATGGCACGGGTAAGGTTTAATCACAAATAGTTAAGCCAAAAATGATTTAAATTTCTCATCATTTGTCTGAACAAAGCTGATTTCACTAACTAAAAGCTCTACTTTGTGTCAATCATCCTATTTACCAAGCTCGTCATGATCTTTGCCTTCGGCTTGTCATCCATAATGTTATGCTTTTCCAAATATGAACCGGATTTCTAGAATGAGACTTTGGATGTATCATTCAAAAATGCATCTTTATGAGATTCTCAAGTGATGCGATTATTGTTCTTTGGATGAAGAACAAGGTTTGATGTCGCCGAAGTAATGGATTAATTCTTTGAACACGACTTGGTCGCAACGCTTTACGAGTTGATCGGATCTTGGTTCATCTACCAAGTATGAATAATTCCAAAAAAGTCCGTTTTTGTTTCATTGTGTGTCGAACCATGGATGATACAACCACTAAGAATGGGAATAAAATGACGTGAGAGTCTTCATCCAGCGTCGGTATTAAGAAAAACACGATCTTGTTTACCATCTCACTGTTATGTGGGAATTCTTGTAAGCAAAGTTTGTATAACACATATTGTAATTGAATATCGATGTCATGTAAATTTGATCCTGTCACATCTCGTTTGCTAATGTATGCACCCGCAAGTTACTCTTTTCTTGTTCCTTACTGAATGTCTACTTCATGAAATACTTTCGTCAACACACACTGGCTTTAGTTCGCCTTGCATCACTTCAACTCATCTAAACTTCCTTCCACGACTGGACTTCAACCATCCTCACATCGTCACTCACTCCACAAAACAATACTCTCTTGTCTTGCGCGTATTGCCAACATAGATTCAAAGCAACAAAATAAAAACTTCCACTACTCTCTCCTCCGTTCGCAGATCGCAAAACAAATATATATTGTGCTTCACTTTTTATCTCTCTTCCCACTTTGCTCACATAAGTTCAATCTTCACTCTCAATCTCTCTTTCCATTTCTCTCACAGAAGTTTGTGTTAATGTTGATTTCTACCACCAATTTTTTCAAAGAAGTGTGATCTTGTTTCCCACTTCTCCCATTGAAGTTTGTGATTCACTGTCAATTTCTTGCATCACTGCTCTCATAGAAGTTAAAAAACTGAATTTCAAGAAATTTTGAAGAAAAAAAAAATGAAAAAATTCAAAGTTCATAAAAGATCCGCTCCAACAGGCAGCCACAACATTCTCTCTGAAATAATAAACACACTCATATTGGCACCTAGATCACAAAGGCACGTGGCAACTAATTACGTGATCGTGACACGTTTTGGGATCTGCTAAATCTGTAGCTAGCTGGCCAAATTTGAGACATCAACCGGCTAGCCGTTTGTAGCCTTTTGTATCGGCTAGCCAAAAGTGAGTTGGCTACGTGATCATCCCTAACTATAACAAACACACAAAAAACTAACTTGTCGCTGTTAACTAACACATTTATTCTCTACCTACCATACACAAGGATAAATGATATGGCAACAACAGATAATCTACTGTAATATAACTATATTTTCATCTTGAAATATCATTTTCTTTAGTTCCAATTTATTGAAAATGATTACAAGCCTACTACTTTGTGAAACTCAACGTACTCGTGACACATCTGTTCAAATAATTAAACTATCAAAAAGACCTTAGCTAGATATTTAACTAGTTTTCGAATTGATTCATATGATGGATTTACTTTTCTTAGAATCAAATAATCTATTTTGGAATATTTATGTATTCAAATTCGTTTGTTGAGTAAATTTTTTACTCATGATCAACTATGCAGGTTGGAAGAATAGATGATGTGAGCTGGTTGATGAATTGTTCTGGTTGTTGTACATATTTTTGTATATATTATTATTAACTTCTATTTGGTTTGATCTAACACTATGTGAATATAATAACTCACAACTCATAATTTATGCTGGCATGTATCCATTGTTGATGTCAAATGGAAAAAGATTGTAATAAACCAGATGGTTATTAAATATCTGGTTTGTTTTGTTGACAAACTACACAATTTTGAACATAAAACTTCATATATTCTCGTATTTTTAGACCAAAAGTACAATTGTTGTATGCTCTACAAGGTATTCTTCACTCTCACATGATCTACAATGCATGTATCATGACTTTTTGATAAAGTCATTGTGTGTAATCTTGGTTATGCTGAATGCATATATGTTGCTTGTAAAATGTCAAACGTCAAACTTGCTCTTCCTTTCTAATTTGTAGTGCTTGCATGATCTCTTCATACTCTTTTGTGACATTAATCATCTTGTTTTATCAATCGGTTGAATCTTTACTTCTGCAATATGATAAAGATATGACATGCTTTGTGAAAGCATTTGCGAGTTGGTTTTTGTCCTCTACATACATAATCTTCATGTTGAAGTGCTGACGCTATTCTATCCATTAACTTTATAACTCAGATAGCTCATATGAATTTCCAAATTAATTGATAATTTATGATAAATTTCAATCACAACCTCCTTATCATCCAAGTAATTAGTATCTTTTTTTAACACAATGGTTAATTTTTCTCATCTTGTTGTGTGATAAATTATTATTTTTTGCTATATATCAAAATATAAACTAGAAAAAAAATAAACATCTAGATAGGGACAAAAAGTAACATTTATCATTTTCATGAATTTAACATGTGCATTAGTAAGAACAAAAGTCTTTATTAGATATTCAAAGTGATCATATTTAATACAAAAAGAAATTTTGTGAATATTTTCATCTTCAATTTAATTTTGGGAGTAGTCGCTACGTATATGCAATTGATGAAGTTTTTTGCTTTTTGAACTTGATCAAACAATTCATCCATACAAGATATTGAATACTTTTTTTTCATTGTTTGTTGATTCAATCTAAGATCATTGATGCATAATCATATGTTATCATTATTTTTTTCACAAATAGCACTAAAGCTCCATAAATAGAAACACTTGGTAAAATAAACTTTTTGCACTTGAATTTTGCATTCTTCCAATTTTTTTGGAGCTAAAAAATATGTAACTTTAAAAAAATTCAGATTTTGCAATTTATTTAATAGTAAGATTTCAATTTTGAAATTGAATGAACCAGATGATACATTAAAAACTAATGTGTGATTATTGAAACAGTGAAGTCTTTGGAGATTCATGAAAGTTTGTGGCATATAACATAAACATCAAAATCTTGAAAATCATTTACTAATATATATAAATATATATATTCAAATAAAAATAATTAAAGATAATAGGAGATCCATTGACTTGATTTAAGATTTATGAACAAAAAATTATAATTTTATTTCACTTTATCTTGACATTTCACTAGCTAAATATGATTTGTACATGGATAAATATTATCTACTAAGGATGGATATATGACATTTAGGTTAAAAAATTTGAGACTTTTTTCTCTATATTTTTGCACTTTTACTTTTTATTACATTTGATCACATTTGTAATGATGATGGTTGAAATATTTCATTATATTGTTGAATCAATAAAAATTTGAAAATGTAT